CTCCCACATTCCTAGGGATCTATGCCTGACACTGAGATTTTCATTTAATAACCCTTGTCTCCTGGGAGTAGCATTGTTCACCCATTTGGGTATACCTATACTCAATAGGTATACCATTGGCATGCTGATTTCACTTTGTATAAATTTATATATATATATATATATATATATATATATATATATATATATATATCTCCATGGTGGAATATCTGGGTCACATGATATCCTTGTTTCTGATTTTTGAAGAATTTATATTGTTGTGTGCTACTGAACTATAGTTATGCCATCTCATGAAAGTATTCCTAAGAATACTGTAATTGCTAAAATTATCTTGGGCAAACTAGTCTTGGGTCACTTAGACCAACCATTAATTCTTAGAGTAAACTGGTCTCTGGGACAACCATAAATTCTTATATACTGTTTCCTGACCTAAAGATTATGAGAATTACCTGGTCACTTAGCTGTTGTCTCTCTGCTTCTGTAAACCATGCTTACTTGCTTACTGCAGACATCCAGAGCTGCCTTTCTGTACAAGTCACAATTGCAGCTTTTGCCTTTAAAAACTTGAACAAGCTGGGCAGTGGTGATGCACACCTTTAATCCCAGCACTTGGAAGGCAGAGTTAGGCACATCTCTGTGAGTTCAAGGCAAGCCTGATCTTTAAGAGCTAGTTCCAGGACAGCCAGGTCAGTATGAGAGCGGTGGGCTGAGTCCCCGCCACCCAGCTAGTTTATACCCGAAATAACCACACCAAATGGTATTAATTAAATTGCTGCCTGGCCCATTATCTCTAGCCCCTTATTGGCTAACTCTCACATCTTGATCTAACCCATTTCTAATAATCTATATCGCCACTTAACTGTGGCTTACTGGCATGAGTCTAACCAGCATCCATCTCAGAGAGGAGAGTCATGGCATCTGCCCCACTGCCTTCTTCCTCCCAGAATTCTGTTCTGTCTACTCCACCCACCTAAGGGTTGGCCTATCAAAAAGCCAAGGCAGTTTCTTTATTTGACCAATGAAAGTAACACATAAACAGAAGACCCTCCTACACCATGCTACACAGAGAAACCCTGTCTCAAAAAACTAAGACCAAAAACAAAACCAAAACCAAAAAAACAGTAAAAAACCCAGAACTTGAACAAACTGGAGATTGAGTCTGCTTTCCGCTACTCTGCCTGGGACAGCCTCACCAGTGGTAAGTAAAAACTCTATATGACTTATTCAGACACCTGGGAGTTTTTCTCTTCAGGTATTCCATAATATTTGGAAGTTCTACCAAGATCTCTGAGGAGACTCTCCCCCAGACCTCTGAGTTGGGGCCTCTCCTAGGCAAGGATAAGGGATGTCAGCTTAGGGGAGGCCATGAACTGACATTTCTCAGTTCTAGAAACTGACTACCCCTCACCAACTTGCTCCCTAAAACTTTTTGGAGGAATGTATCTGTGTCTGTATTTGGTACCCCCAGAGGTGAGATAAACTTAGGTTTCAGGTTTACAATAAACCTAGGTTTCAGGTTTCTGGTCTTCCTTGGGCACCAATGGGAGGACTTGTGGAAAAGCTGGACACATGGTAATAATTTTCAAGTCCAGGGGTGTGGCCAGGATGCCTGCTGCACACCCTTAGAATCTGATTTATCTTGGTGATCACCAATCTGTGTCGAGTGTTTGTTGGAACAGTTTTTGTTGCCTTTGTTCCTTACCTGTGTTTCTGTGCCCCCATTAATCTTTTCTGCTTGCAGGGATACTGAGGAATAATCCTGTACACAGTGAAGATGTATTACTCTCATTGATTAATAAAAAGCTGACAGACCAGTAGACAGGCAGGAAGTTGTGCCAGAATGCCAAACTGAAATTGACAGGAAAAAGGAGGGCAGAGTCACAGGAGATGCCAATCAGCCACCGAGCAAGCAGGATGCCTAGGAAATGAGATAACAAGCCATGAACCATTTGGCAAAGCATAAATAGAAATATGGGTTAATTTAAATGTAAGAGTCAGCTAGTAACAAGCCTGAGGTATCGACTGTGCATTTACAAGTAATATGAAATCTCTGTGTGGTAATTTGGAAATAGCTACCTACCTGGATGAGGAGTAGGCGGTCAGGAGAGGAAAACTTGTACCTAAATATCAGCCCAATGCGGGGCCGGAATTTCCATGTAGGATCTAAAAAAGCATAAAAAAGGACTCTAAAAACATAAAAATGGAGTCACGCACATCTTCTTGGTAGCTGCCTTTTTTTTCTATTGGGCTGTTTGCTGGCAGTGAGCAGAGGCTCACTCCTTTAAGAGATGACTTCCTGGCTCAGTACTAGTGCAAAAACAATTGGCTCCTTTCAGAGGCTCTGTTGCCAAGCACTTAAATAGTGTTTATGAGAGGCAGGTGGCATGCTACTTATGGCAGCACCGGCCCAGAAACTTCCCACAGCTGGGACAGTAAATATCCTCCCGGTGCTAGTGGCAAATGTACCTCCTCATGAGACTAGACTCTCAGAGAACTGACAGGGAGGAGACAGCACAAGCATGCCCTGATCTATGTTAGACAGCAGTTTTTTTGCTCATGCAGACAGAAAAAGTTACAGATGCACAGTAAGGACAGATTCAGACAAAAAGAACCTCTAAATGGGTCACAGTTTAAAAAATATGTGTAGGCTTGGGAGAGAGAATAAAAAAATATATACAGTCTTAGATTTAAAAATACAGTTTTTAAAATAAGTCATTAAAAAAGGAATAGAGTAATAAAATATTAGGAAAATACACAAAGAGTCTGAATACTGTGTATTATTGTGTTGTCTTTAAATTTTTTGGCTGCTAATGAGCAAATCATAACTGCTAAGAGATATTATATTATGAAAATTCTAGATTAAACCAACCTTTATATTTAATTTTTTTACTTCAAAATTTAAGTGAGAAGATATGTTACTTTGGGAAAGAGGTTCTGTTTTTATTTCCACAGGAAATGAGAGGCTGTGAATTCATTCTGGGTTAAGAAAAATTAGGTTTAATTTAGAATGGCCCCCTGAAAAATTTCTAATGAGAATGCATGACCCAGATGATGCAATATTTCAGAGCACCTCTGTTGTAGTTTCCTCTGAATTCTGCATCTAGAACGGCTGCTGGCTGAGATGATCCAGCCTCACAATATACTCCAGTCGGGATTTGTCCATAATCCTAAATTTTCTCAGGGTCCTCCAAAGATTACCAGTACCACCAATCAATAGGAAGTAGTCTAGAGAACTATGCCCACATTCCCAAAAATCAATTATGGATATTTGTCATTGTCAAGGGGTTTGATTATAAATTGTTATTGGTAAAGGTCAGAAAGAAAAGCTAAACAAAGGAGATTATATTCAGGGATCTTGTTTTGAAAGGATAAAGGGGGGGATATAGAAATGATAGGATAAAAGGGTAAATCATTGAATCTACTTTTAACTAAAAAAGCAACTTCTAGTCTTAAATATTTTACATTGGTAAGGATTTTAGCTTATTGATACAAATTTAAGGTTAATTTTGTTATACTCTAAGTATATCTTTACTCTTTAAGGTATTGTGCTTATGCAGCTCATTTAAAAGTATATTGTAAATTAAGAAATACAGATTAATAGTCTTCTATAATAGTCAAAATTATAGTCATGTTAGGTATGTTTTCATGGTCATACACAGATATATTTCAAAAGATGGTCTTCAAACACTTCAAAGACCTATATATTATGGCATTTCATATGTTTAATAACCTAAGGCTTTTCATGACATACATTTTCAGTAACTTGTTGGATTCTTACCATCTGGCCTGTCTTGGCTCCATTCCCAAGCCTGACTACACCTTTAAACCCAACGTTATTTACCACTTTTCTTTCTCCAGCATGATCTCAAGACCGAAGTTTTAAAAATTTAATAGATGCCACATGCTATTGTATGCTAGTGAAATAAAATTGTGGTGTCTCCAAAGGATGTTAAGTACCAGATTCTAAAACCCATGATTTCTTGTCATGCAACTTTGGAGGGTAGCAATCTGAGTTTGAAGCCTTCTGCTCAGCTCGGATTCCACGCAGCGAGTCAACGAACTTAATAATAATAATAATAATAATTTTCTACTAACAGTGACAGCCCTTTGTGTGGCGGGGTGTAGCTGAGGTGACCAGGAAAACAGACATGCCTTAGGCAAAGGCAAATCTTGTCAGAGCATGAGCTGTCCCAATTTCTAAAGGGACTCAGCTGTCGGCCCCAGGCTGGGGTCCAAGCGCCTCTGCCACCTAGCCGGCTTTTCCGGCCAAGGCGTTAAGCCACCTCTAAGGAAACACGTGGAAGGTAGGCTGGGTTGGAGTGCAGACAGGAGCGCCACTGTTTGAAATACACAAAGGGCCGGTGGCACCGCCACTATGTCCCTGGCAACTCCACGCACGCGCCCCTTTCCGCCCGCCCGCGCTCACGGCTGGAGACCAGCCGGGAGGGTGGGGCTGCGAGCGCAGGTTGCCCTCCTCGGCCACAAACACCCTGGTGCCTGCTCGCGGACGACGCCTGGGAAGCGCGAAGTCGGCTCTACCGATGGCGCCACCGCGGTTGTCGGGATTTGTAGTCCGTGAGCCTGTGGGGCCC